GGGTTGGGCTCAGGACGTGGTCGAGAGTGGTAGGGGTTCTCTGGGAGAGGCCGCGAGGTTGACACTTTGGTTACCTGTCAGAAAGCATATGAAATAAATAAAAAGTTTATTAGATGTTCATTGCAGAAGCAATCGTGTCTTTTTGAACGTGTTACCAGTATCATCACTATATCAAAGTTTTAAAATGGTTCTGATTCTGCTTTAAAAAAAAAAGAATTATGGTGTGGAGGCAGAAGATATTGAATTTTGTCCCCTGATTAAAAACATTTAATTAGGCTTTTTAGTAGTGTGTACAAACTCAGATATATACTGCTTTAATTAGATCATTTGAAGAGTTTACAGTCTTCTCCCCGTGACTGTCCTGCTGAAAAGAACACTCCCAAGATGAAGCAACTTTTGTTTCCAAATGAGACTGATTTGGGAACAAATCAGTAGTAAACCAGTTTGTAAGCACACTAGTTTGCCAGTGTGCTTATACTTTTCCAGTTTCGTGAAACTAGTAAAGTAATTCAGGTTTACTAGTAAACTAGTCGATTCAACTAGTAAACTAAGCTGACCTGCCTCTGAAGTGAAGAATAGGAACTGAACTAAGACTAAATCTTATTCTTTCACAAAGCTATTCTTAGTTTGCAGGTTTAAAAGAGATTAGATTTCTAATATTTTTAGTAAAGATCATAAATATGTCTGATGATTTCATTTTTTTGAGAGCAGGAAAAAACATATTTTTGATATTTCAATTTTAACAAAGGGGGAGCCATTGCTCTAATACCTCCACTGTTCAGCCACTTGTACTTTAAAATTCAAATTGATCATAGAACAACATAGCACTGGCCCTTTCTACAGGCTACTTGCAGTCCACTGGCTCAAGCTCAAGATTGTTCTATCGCTCATAAGAAAAGCTAATTTGTTTGTTTAAAAATATTAACATGGTTTGGTAATCTACAAACAGCTTTGTACTGTTTACTAAATGGTCTGCCAGTTAGAGTCCAAATAATTAACCAGGAAAGTCAGTTTATACTCAGTAACACTCTCTGTGCTTCTCTATGAAGAGAAAAATAGCAAAACAGGTTTAACATATTGCAAAATTACAAAATGTATATAATGGAACATGCAGATGGTGTTTATTAGATTTGTCATAAACCTCCATATCAAAATTAGAGTGAAAATTAATGTCAGACACAATGCTTCTGTTAATTAAAAGCAATTTGATCATATATTTTAGTAATACAATCAGATTTTGAGTCAATTGTACTCAAGGCTATCAGCTGGTGAACATTTTGTGTCGTGGTGTGTATAATCAACACAAATAGAGAATCACAGTACGTTCCTCGGCTGCCTCACCTTGGACAGATCTCCCAGGTCAGGTCTCACCCAGCCCAACTTATCAAGGACACAGTTGTCAAAAGCTTTCTGCTGTTTGCGGCAGTGACGTAGTTCTGCCAGGTTGGTGTAATCCAAGCAGGTCCAGTACTCCGTGAAGGACTCAGCACAGTTTCCCTTGATTTGTCTGAGATGTATAGACATGCAATTATATTTCAATTTACTGCTAAGTATACCTCACAACTGTCATCAAAGAAAAAAGTTTTGTTTTTTTCTGGTTTTCAGAAATGATGTCTGCTACCGAGAAAAACATCAAAGCAACAGACCAGTGACTTATTGCTGTAAAACTGAAGACATTTTTCATTCAAAACTAGAAAAATTAATTGTAGATATTGTCAAAATTACAGTATTTTTTCAGACTTGGAAAATGTTGACTCCCATAAGACGACGAATAATAAGAACATGAAAAAGAGACCCATAGTTATAACAAAATACTTTTTACACAATAGAAAACAACTGATTGCATCAAAATGTGTCTCAGAAAACATAAACTAAACAAATGTTCAACCAAACTTTTGAAGTTGGTACATTTACTTTTTTTAAATTATTTTTATAAATCATTTTCAAGGTGTAAAATGTCTTATTGCCATATGTACAGAAATGTGGAACTACTTTCAAATTTAAAGACATTTGCTATATAAACAGCATTAAATTTTGCTCTTCTCAACAAGTCAATCTGTCACATTATAAAAAAAACACCATAAAAACTGAATGAGGTTGAATTTCTAAAATATTTCATAAAATATCAACCTTACATCATCAATCCTCACTCCATTCAACCTAAAATCTCACCAGCTTTTTCTCCTACTGTTGTTCAGCACTGGTTTTTGTTACAAACCTCTGCAGTCCATAATAAATTGCAAAGCCTAATTGCAGAACAAGACACAAAACATGAAACTTCTAAAATCTTCAATCTACATAACAGCTTTGAAGTCCATAAAAACAACTATATAGGACCAACATTTGCAACTTCAGACCACATTTTCTTCCCACATGTCCATCACTGAGTAAGAAACATACAAACTCTGACCACAAACCTCTTGTGACCAAAGTTTCATATGGACTCCTAAAGTTTGCACTGTGTTGGCTCCAGCATTCAGCCACATCTTTAATCACTCTCTGAGCATAGGACCTAGGATCCGTTTTGCAGATGACAGCAGGCATGCAATTTTTAAAACTGAAAATGTAATTATTCTTCACAATCAACAGAGTGTTGAATTCTCTCAAATATACTAAGAATTTTTCCTCTTAAAAGGCAAAGAAAATTGTTACACACTTGTTTTTTTACCCTTAAATATGAACCATGAACTCAACAAACCAGTTTGTCAACTAATCTTTCTAAATGTCATCTTTCATAGATTTTGGGTAATGTGCCAGGCACTGTTCCCATTCTTATGGATTAGGCATCAAAAACATAAAATGCTGAAAAACTAAAGTTACCTGAAGAAGTTAAGTGCACATTCATTGACCTTCCTCCCTTCTTGTAAACACTTTCTTGGGTCTTTTTCCTCCCAGCGACAGAGCATAAACTCCTTGTTGGGTTTGTCACACTGGGAGCCATAATGGTGTGCAGCAGCCTTCAGAACTGCAGATGAAATGTTTACCTAAAGCAAAAAAGAATGACAAAACATGGAGGGTTTAAGAACAAAATGACCAATAAAAAGGTCAAAATAAGTACATTTTTCAGCCCCTTCATGCAGCCAAAACTTTTCGCTCCTAAATGATAGCTGAATAAAACAAAGGTGTGTCGATTAAAAGCAGATTTACGGAATGTGCCATTTTAATCGTTTCATCCTTGTAATATTATTCATTACATCCTTGATCAAGGAGAAAAGTTAATTTTAAAAAAAGCCAGTGCAAAAAAAATATGCGATCTATGTTTTAAGAAAATCTACGTTCCCCACAATCACCTCAAATGGTTTTCCCCCCAGACATTTAACTAGCAAAGCAATGGATGAATCTGTCAACTCTTTGATCCCAGATATTTTTCTTCTTCACTAAAATAGTTACTGGATTAGTTGACATTTAAGAAACATAGCAAATAAAACACCACCACTGTTAGTGTGCTTTAACAGGAAATGTAAAGTCAATACGCTTAAGATGTTTTCGAATGTTTTTCCCTTGCTCTCAGTTACTTCCTGAAAACATGAACGATTATATTAAGAAATGCAGTGTATAGGTTTTATTTGCTTTCTTAGAATTTAAAGTGATACTGTTTTTTGTCTTTTTTTTTATACCCCACCATTCCCCTTTAATTTCATAAATTATAAAACTATACTGACAAATGTTTTAGGGTGCAAATCACATCATATTGTTGTCACATTGTGCACTGGTCTGTTTTTCCTAAAATTTTGTGAGCAGGAAAAGGATAGATCTTCAGAAAGAGGCTTCATACATGCATTTGTGTCTCTTTAAATGCTCTTACACTCGATTACAAGACAGCATTAAGAGAAAAGTTCCAATTTCACTTTATTATACACCATCCTTTGCAGCTAAGAAATAAGTACAAAACTGCACAAATCCTACTGCAATCAAAGAATATTTATCATACGTCATATACATTTTTCTGAAGGTGGTACACAGCTTTGTCTGTATCTGTATGAATGTATAAATAAATAAAAGTCCATTCTTAGCGAAGGCTCGAGTAAACTGCAGAAACCCAGGCAGAATAAAAACAAGATAGGCATATGCTAAAACAATGAAGCAAAAAACTTGCTCGCAATTGTTAAATAGTTCTGCACGAGCTTTTATAGATGTGAATACGACAAATATCGTCAACTACTGAAATGCAGAAAGCTTCCAGTTTATCTCAGTATTAACAATGACCTGAACGACTGACAGCGATGACCTAAGTTTCAAGGACATTTTCTTTTTTTTTTCTTTCTTTTGCCAAAACGAAGCCACTTGCATTGCAAATCTAATTAAACGAAGGATGTAAAGCAGTCCACATGAAGTCATTGCTATCTGATAAGAAGCAGAATGTGAAATATAACTTTGTTTGTTGTGCCGCAAACCAACGTTATCATCCTCTTAGCGTAGCTCCTGCAAAAGGACATGCATACATGTTTGAGTTTTTACCGTGTACGTGCACAGTTATTTCTTTTACGCCTAATTCATCGAGCAATCCTTTGTCACTGACTTTCCCCGATATGACTTCAATGGGACAGTTGTAGCAGCTAGCCGATTAGCTTGCTGGTTAGCTACCATAACTTCTTTTAGTAACAGTAACCACTGCTCACCTCATCCACTTTCAGCTCCTGCAGAGTCGGTACTTCCAGTGTTGACGGCATGGCCAACTGCTGGTTTTCTAATTCAGGCGACTAAAGTCAAACACGGCCGAAAAAACCATTCAACGTCCTCCTCGCCTGTTTTCAGGGACGAGAACGACAAGGCCGCAGAGACGAAGGTCAGCTTACGTCGTCGTCATCCTGATGACGCAGTCACGTACGGCCTACGTGAAAATCTTAAACGATTTAAAGAAATTATTTGAAAGAACTTCTCTACGAAAAATTAAAAACAAGTAATCTTTTCGCGTGGCATTTGCTTATTTTATTATTATTATTAATTTTTTAAAAATCTTTTAAGCAGTTGGCTAAGCAAAGCGTAACCTTTACCACGTTGCCATGGTAACATTGCACCAACATTACCATGTCTTAATCTCTTTTCTTCGCAGTTGTGTTGGAGCACATTTCTGCCATTTTTGTTGTTCTAAATTTAAGTTTTTGGGGAGGTTTTCATTTAGTCTTTTTCTGTATTTTTGGTGTTTCAAGAAAACACAAAACAGTTTAAGCAATGGAGTTGATTGGACGCAGATACAAAGGAAAGATAAAACATGGGAGGTAAGTATAATTAAAAACAACTAAAAATTAATGATAAATTGTATTAATATTGGGCTATAGTAAGTTAGCAGTGGAAGAAGTTGATCATTTATTTTTTAAATTTATTTACTTATTTTATTTTATTTATTTATTCTTTTTAACCATAGGATGGAAGGGTTTGGAGAATATACCTTTCCCACGGATACTCAGTATGTGGGAGAGATAAAAGACGGGAAATTTCATGGCAAAGGCGTGCTGTACTTTACAAATGGAAGTAAATATGAAGCCACCTGGGAGGAAGGCATAGCTATAGAAGTGAGTTTTTTGTTTTTTTTTTTTTTTTTTTTTTGTGAGTTTGTGTGTGTTTCTTGTTGTAATTTTGGATTGCATCCATTCACATACATGACTGTGTTTCTCATTGGTTATACTTAAAGCTACATCTGTTCCCTTTTAGCAATCACTCACCATTATTGTTGGGGTAATTATGTTGCTCCCATTATTTCCAAGTATCATGCTTTGTTCTTCCCTGCTCTGATATGATCTTTCATGAGCTTTGCAAGTAAAGCGATCATTCCACTTTTTATTTTTTTATTTATTTTTTTTATCATCACTGCAGTTGTGCTCCACTTTAAATGTTGGCAGCTCTGAACCATGGTCAGTCTTGGCTCATAGTACCTTCCACCTGCATTCAGTGCCAGCCTGAGAACCTGGCTCTTTTCAAAAAGTCTTTAGAAAAGCTGATGCAGTACTAGAAAGATTTATATTCAATAAGGGTCTTATTTTTTTTCTTTATGTGTAATCTTTTTTAATATTTTAATTCAAAACTTAAAATTTGAAATATTAACTATTTCCTCTATTTAAGATTCTAAAAAGTATTAGTTGAGTCGGTGTTTCCAAAGCATAAACTATTGTGGCTTTGTACCCTTGACCTTTTTCACATCTTGTCATGTTATTTCCCTATTCATTGAAGCTCACAGCTCAATTGGGGAAAAGCTATTATTCACTCTGTATATCTGACCTTTATGAAAAAGTTGCAATAAAAAAAATTCCAACACTGACCAAAAGCCATACTCCAACAACAATTTTCCTGAAACAATATGGGAGCCATGCAAAACATGTATGTCTTCTGATCAGTTGAAACTTAACATTATTTTTCTTTAGTTTTTTGCGAAACTGAAAGTGCCCTAAACTATTTGTAGCTGTCATTGCATCATAGTTTGATTGTTTAAAGCATCTTTTCGGAGTTGCAGAACAAATTCTGCACAACACCCTTTCAGATTTGGTTTTGGCAAAAAATAATAATAATTTTCACTTTCTTGGTGTTGATCTATCACACAAAATTCAACTAAGATACCCTGAAGTTTGTGTTTAATACTTTTGCAAAACATAGTTTGCAAAACTATTATTATTCTGCTTACATTGTTGGTTTTGCACACAAAAAACAAAAAGGTTTGAGATATCCCTCTCAGAGAAGTCTGTCTGAATCTAAAGACAATAGGGGAAAATATAAATTCTTTTGTGGCGCTTCAAGTGCTGGAGACTGTCATTTGAAAACCTCTGCATCTACTTATCTATCCAGAAACCATGTCTGAGGTAAGCAGGATAACCCCCTAGACCTCATGTGCAACTGTTTGTGCTGTATCTATTTTCTGTGAAAGACGTATTCACATGCATTCAACAACACTGAGCTTTATCTTGTAGGTTTCTTTCTGCCTTTCATCTTTTAAAATGTCATAATTTACTTCTTGTTTGTTTTCAACTATAAAGGAAAGCATACAGTTGTACTGAAAATCTGTGCATTTTATCAGAAGAGGTGAAGTAGCAACACCGAAACTATTAATGAGGGACAAAATTCTGATTCATGTTTGCAATGTTTTCTTTCCAAAGGGGACATTTATCTTCCCTGATGGTCTGGAGTACCGGGACAAACACTGGGACTACTGTGATGGTTATGACAGGCGTTTCTACACTGAAAGATGCTATGGATTCATACCACCAGGTTGAAATTTATGTATTTGCTCTGATTCCATTTTCTCTCTGTTCAGTTTTCTTACAAACACACACACATCATTTAGTTTGAAAACAGAAGAAGTCACATAGTAGCAAAGTGAAATAATGCGACAGCAAGATAATTGGCAGGTTTAAAGACTTGAATCAAAATTAGCAAAGAAATCCAACAGATTAAAAAACAAATAGAGAAAAAAGGCAATAAAAATGTATTCAAATACTACTTTTGATTTTGAAGAGTGATAGACTACATATAAAAAAGCTGTAATATTTTCATTTAGATTTTTAAAACCATACGCACTACAGTCATATAAATAGATTAGATTGAAATTTTGGCTCTTGAGGTGAATTGTTTTCCAATTTTGGGGAATGGGTGTGCCACATTTTTATTATTCTTTTGTTTCATTAAGTCCAGATGCTTTAATAGCGCTTGCAAGGCCAGGACTGGGAAGTGCCAAATACCACTTAATATGATCTTGCTGGAAAAGAATGAATACTTAATCTGAAAACTGTGAAAACTAGACGTTAGAGTTGCACAACAAGACAACAAGATTTTTCCAGCTCCTATCTTTTTTTTTTCTTTTTTTTACTTCATAGCTATGTTCCCACAACTTTTTGTGAGCTTTATCATCTCAGCCACAAAAATATTTGTTCTGGGCAGCAAGGACCAAATATACTACTGGCATGCACTCTAGAATTTATTGTGATGTTGTAATAACAAAACTGCTTCGATGTACTTTGTAACTTTAAATGTACATACATCTGCGATTTACAGATCTGTTTGCAAGAAATAGCTGTCTAAGAATCTAAATGTTAATTTTTATGGAATAGTTTAACTATACTTGTTATTTCAGATGAGAAAAACTGAAAATCATCTGTGTTTGACCACTGAAAAAACATTTGCATTTTTTGGGGCAATCTCCTTGCCGTCTTTGATGGAGTGACCCTCTTATCATTTGTAGAATATTCCACCATCTGTTTTTGTTATTAACAATAACTGCTTTAAAAGTTGGGGACTTTTCCATCTCTTACATGGAAAAAAATCAGGTGGAACCCATTAGAAAAAACTGAATAATTAACCAGGAGTCACCTTGGTGTTGTGCAATAGCATCATTATTTTGCCCTTCAAGTTAACATTATGATTATGGAAAAAAGAAAAGAAAAAATCTTCAATGCTCTAACGCCAAGCTTTCTGTTTACACAGGAGAAACTCAGCTGACTAATGTACACCCACCACCACTTATCCCTGATGGCTGCTACGATTGTGCAGATGGTTTCTATGACCCAAAAATCAGAGTCATCACTTCCTACTCTGGCGAATTCCTCAGAAATGCAGGTAAAACAAACATGTGGTTCATGAAAATAAAATGTTATTTAACCACTTTTGTAACCTTCTCAAAGACAATCCTCACAAACTGATGTCTTCACTATTGTAATGCAGTCACATATCACACATGTTGTTGTGAACAAAAGAGCCTATAGTTGTTGTGCAACTGCACTTTTACTTTAAAGTAAACTGAGCTCATGTCTTTCAGTTTATGCATTTTTCTTCCACTAACCTTTTGCCAAATTGGCTCGGTCTGCGTGAGGAACATCCAAGCATGGAGAGCTGTGGTGCCAAAGTAAATTAGAAAGATGAAAGTCAAGAGCAAACACAAATTTCCATTTCAAATTATGTACACAGACTTTTTTTGTGCGGTGAAGCATCTTCCACTGATATACTTGTGCATGTTAAATCTTTTTACCAAGTGACCTAGTCAAAAATACCATTATAACAGTAACAGTCCTACTGTTCATTCAACCCCTCTATTTTAACTTGAACATGTTCCAGTTCTTTATTTGTGCAAAACAAAGAATCCTTACAAAGTAGGATCAATATGGCTTTGCAGGACTCTTTAGAGCATAGTCTTTAATTCATTTTCCAGTTGTCTGGAAAAAAAATGTTGAGTGGAGCAGTTAGTGGGACTATTGCCTTGAAACAAAAATCTTGGGTTCAATTTTTAGTCTGTGATCTTTCTGCATGGAGTTTGCATGTTCTCTGTGAGCTTCCAGCTTCTTTAGTCCAAAAACATGTGTGTTGGGTTAATTAGTCTGCCTAAGTTGTTGGAAAAGCAGATATAGATGATGGGAAAAGTAATGCCTCTTTTCTAAATTGTATTTATATGTGATGGATGCAAAGGGAATTTAAAGTCAATTCAGTTAATTCAATCTCATTTATTCAGTGAAATAAATGAGAGACTTCACATGCTTGATTATTTTATCTTTTCAACATAATTTTACCTAAAATTTAAAAAACTAACATTCAAATTAAAATATTTTACTTCTGAACAGTGGTGGTAGAGGAGCAGATGTTGTCTGAAAGATCTGAGGGCATAAAGAGCTGTTATGTAGATTGGAGAGAGAGGTCCGGCTGTGTAGTTCTGGTTCTAAAAGGAACAACCAATAGGATTAGATGAAGAATATCGAATGAGAAGTGGCAACACAGACAATATTTCCTGATAAGTAGATTTTATGCCCAACTAAAGCTACAGTTGTATCATAAATGTGGTTTGAGTGGAGCATTTTTTCTTTGCCTATATTCTAAAAGTTTCCTTGGTCTAAGAATGTTCACAATGAACCTGTGGAGTGCAGTTAAATGAAACCCTGCATTATCTGATTTGAGTAATGTCATCTGACAGGTATCCTTTTACAGGCGTTTTTTGTCCAAAAAGAAACATTGGATGCAGATTTCATGACTGAATCAATGCCCAGAATTTAAAGTAAATGCAGTCAGATATTCTCTAATTCTGTTCATCAAGTCTCCCAAACTTGTTGTGACAGAAAATGATAGCGTTGCTCACCTCAGGACCTTAGAGGAGAGGCTGAGGAATTGTCTGGGGAGACTAATCATTTCAGCACTTTGATCCAGAAAGCAACAAACTTACTTGGCACAGGAGGGAAGAAAAAGCAAAACCACAGCCACTGAGGAGCGTTTGAGAAAAGGCATGGACGGAAAAGCACTAGTCCCCAATCCTGGTCCTCAGAGTCCACAGAACCACTTGTTCGGGGCCGTTGTCTGAAATTTTTATATCTCATTTTCAAGTATGACACAAATTAACCAAAATGTCAGGATTCTCATCTCTATCAGATTGATCCTGCATTTGAGATTTGCCGGCTGTTTGCCCGGAATAACAAGAATAGGTATTCAGATGGAAATCCTGAAAGAAATGTATGAGCGACTCACCTAAATGTTTTTTTAAGCAGGGTTTGTATTCAGACGAGCTATTTGCAATGTAAAACAGAAGTTCCACAAGCCTATACATGTATAGGCAGAAGATAAAATCTAGATCAATATCAGATGCTTAAGATAGCAAAAATGTGCTTTTTATATTTCTGCATGATGCAAGTTCTTCTTTACTATTTTAACTCTGGAAGTGACGAACAGAAAAATGAGACAAGGGGGGAAAGGGCAACAGAAAGACAATATGGAAAAAAATGTGTACCAAAAACTGAAGACTTGAGGAACAGAGTACCTTTGAACAATACTCACTGTTGATTTAAATAGATATAGAGGAAAAACAGGAACCATGGAATTGATGTCTGCCTGTTTTCGGTCGTGGTCGTGTCCGTGCCCTCCGAGGGATGTGCTCTATATGTGGCAGCTGATGACAAATACTGTTTATGCCTATGTATTCTCTCCCTTTTGTCTTGATATACAACTCTTGAAAGGAATGCTTCTGTATCCTGTAAGGATTTATTTTTCAACCCTGGGAGGTGAAGGCATATTTGTCAGGGTGGGTGTGAAGACTGAATTTATTGCCTAGCGGCTTCCGCCCAGGATGAGGACTGCAATGATGATGGGACACAGGGAAGACCCGCCCTCCCAGTGGGGGCGCTTACTGTGGCAAGAAAGAGGAAGGAGATCCCCATGCAGCTGTGGATGTGAGGCGATGGAAAACTCTACCAGAGAAGACAAACATTAAAAAATGTTGCATAGCTAAAGCTTCTTTTTACCTGCATTCTATCTGCTTGGACAGATAACTAGGAAGCATGAGCCATATTTAATTTACTGACCTCCTCGGTTACTAATGTTAACGTGGACAAACAAGGCACTCTGGAAAGGTGCCAAGCTGCAAAACAATAGGATCTGCGGCTAATATCTCCCAAGTGGTTACAGATTCTTTTGGAGGACCTCTGAAGTAATTTTTGCATAGCATCTTACAAGACACGAATGTGAAAATCTACAGGAAATTGTAGTAGTGAGAGGACACAAATGGTTCACTGGGCTTAAGAAGTAAGTTCAAACATATATCTCAGACTTGTCCTTATTTTCAGCAGAACCTAAAGACGTTTTTTTTTCAGTACTCTATGTATTTCTATTCTTCAAAAAAGATTTAGACACCAAATGAAAAATGTGTTCATTGGTTTTGAAAACAGAAGACGATAAAGTGGCACAGATATGGAAGTAGCCAAAACATCCATTTAACGTCGCCGAGGGTGGATTGGGAAGAGGGGGGCAGCATAACGAGGGAAACACGTACAACCCAGCGGGAAGCACGGCAGCGTAATGAATTCCTGCCGTAAAGGCAGGGAGGAGGAGAATAGCAGCCACAATGATTCAAAATAGCACTAGCACTTGTAAGAGCTGAGAGTCAGGACAAATGGAGGAGATGCATGTATGAGCCACAGCAGCAAAAAGAGCTGCTGACTAAAGAGTCCTGCATGGTCAGACCAACAGGCCGAAAATCGGTTTTTATTGCCACAGAAATCGTTATTTTGGTTTCAGTTCCCTTAAATCAAATTTCCTTAACCTGATTAGCCTCTATGTTAACAATTTAGGCATTTTTTTTTAAATGCATCCGGAAATACACAAACAATAAAAATCTAAAGTATGTATGAAGGACATATACATGATCTAAATCTGGAATACAACTCACATAGTGAACAAAATAAATATTTCAAATAAATTTAAAAAACTGCCAGTTTTGTTTAATTTCAAGGAGACTTCTAGGGACATTTAATTGTATTTAAATTTGTTGCCGCTGATTAGGATAGTAGCTTAACTTTGGAGACGTAATATGAGCGATTTGTGCAATTAGAAGGATTGAGAAAAAGATGCAAAGGTCACATCTGCACAATCAAACCTCCGGCATCATCGGATTGAACACGTTGAGTTATTTTCAAAACAAACACCCTCCCGGTTAGTTTTTACTGTATACTCTCTTAGCAGAATGGCCCGCGTGTTGCCATATGATTTGGTCTTACTTTCCTGTTGCTGGAATGGCTGCTTCCATCTGAAACTGTGGACAGAAAACATTCCACTGCCAAGAAAAACACCTCCAGTGACCGAACCATGGCCTGCTCCCTTTGTCCCCGTCCAGTCGAGGTGTTTCACAGACAGATAAAATCAGCCTGGGCTCTGGAGAGTGGAAGTGAAAATTCTTTGGAAATTCTCCTTTTTCAAACATCTTTCCGACTTTCCCCCTAAAACTAGAATTATAGCATAATCCCCTGATCTTTGACTGATGAATTTATGTTTCTTTTTTTTTTTTTAAGTTTTAATCTGATATGAAAGCCACAAGCTGATTTGCCGACAGTTTCTGGGAGACGCTTGACTTATGTGAGCATGTTTGAAGGTTTGTTTTGGCGTTTTCATATTGTGTGATTTCACTGTAGTGCCTCTACAAACTGTGCATACAAGATAATAGCACATAATGATCTTAAACTCAGCCTCTGGTAACTGTCACAGGAGCAGTCGAAACTTTCCTATTTCTGCCGCAGTTTCACTTTAACGTCCTGAAAAAAACAGATTTTTTAATTGACCCAGGGAGGGTGTAACTCTTTGTGTACATATGCAAGTGTTAAATCACAGCGATCAGGCTGGAAGGAAACACTTTTCCCTCAGAGTGTGTTTTGAGGGTTAAGATAAACAGACTTTAACAAGGTGCCATTATCGCTTCCACACTCACTCCTGTGTGCCTTGTCTGAAGATCATCCATGTTTGTTGTCAGTCCAGATCAGTATCCACAACAACAACTGCTGAATTGGAGTAAAATAAAGAGTAAGGCTTTATGACGAATACACCAGAAGTGTATTTTATTTTTAAAGGACTGGATTAATATGAAAAACTATTCATATTGCCACACTTTTCACATTTGTTCTAAACTTCTTTCAGTCCTCATATTGTTTTATCTATTCATCCATTTATTGATCTATCTGTTTCCTCTTCCATTCTTCCTTTCTTTTGTCCACCAATTTGTTCATTCTTCTATCCCTTTTTCAAAAGTAAATCCTGACTTTGAGGGAAAAATCAGCTGTGACCTTTTCTAAACCTTTATAGAGATGCATCAATCAAATGTTTGCTCTCTATTTTTGATTTGCGGGTTGGAGGGGTTTGTGGTTCTGATCTGTCAATTTCCATGTTGACCCAGTATGATTTACTTGCTTAATGATTGTTATATAGTGCATAAAAGTTTGTGCTGTCAGCTGACACATGAGCTGAAAAAGGTGGGAGTTCTCAGGAAACATAAGACAATTTATTATGCACAGAGCCAATCAGAGCCAATTAAAATAGAAATTGGCTGATTATTATTACTAATTATTTAAAAACTGGGACATAAAAAAATTGGAAATAACAAATGCACCTTAGCCCTGAATATATGTGATATTAGCTAGCTAAAATCTAAATATTACTGGAAATGTTATGCTTTAATACAGTGCATGCAAAGCCTAAACTATACCAGCCACCTGTGCCCTCATTTAACTTAAGCTGCCAATTACATGTGACTTAAATCCTCAGATAAACGCTACAATCTGAAGAGGGCAGAATTACGGCAAATATAAAAATGTCTCAATCTAATCATCATTAAGCCGCGGGCTGTGACTAATTGAGGTCAGTCTCATGGAAACACGGATATTGCCTTCAGTAATTACCTGTCCCATTTTCAACTACGTCACAAAGACGGCGCAAATGTTTGCTGTGGCAGCTGTCGCGTGGCCGATCGAGGGTCCAATTGCCCTCGCGATCGGCGCAGGTAGAAAGGAGAGCCGGGCTGTTGTGCCCCTGAAGTGGCTGGTGGCGACCACGCCCACCGCTGCCAATTACACACAATCAGCGCGCGAGCCGCAGACCTGCACCTCTGCATCTACAATAGGGGCCCCGCGCGGGAGCTGCGTGGACCCTCGGGGTGAGGCCCGCGAGCGGCTCAAGTGCGTGCAGCTGCGCGCGCTCCAGAAAAAGCTCACTTCCCCTGCAATTAGCTTCTCGTTTCAGTGCCTAACAAGGAGAAACTGGTTTATTATCGGCTCCTCTGGCGGTCGTTTGGTTTAAAAAAAAAAAAAAGATTGGCGTCCATTTTTGATGGGTTATTATTTGTTGGTGTCTGAAGTGGCACTAAGAAGTTATTTTCCTCTAATTGTTAGGCTTATCTTGCTTTGACAAATTTATCCAAGACTTGAATGGCACTTCAGTTCTGCAGTCTAGCGCACAAAACGACCTGCAGTTTAAATATGCAAGCGACTGATTGTCACACTTAAAACGAGCTCAACAAAATGAGCTCAGCCTCTTCTTACTGTGCACCCTTTATGCCAGAATAAGAAGACAGTTCATTTTGGTTGTTTTGTTTGTTACGATTGTCTTCAAAACTAGGAGAAGTCTGAGCCAAGACTTGGACTAATTTTATTTTATTTGCTTTCAGAAAAAATAAAATAAAATAAAATTGGCAGAAAAAAAAGTTTTATATTTTGTTTTCCTTCTTTCATTTTCTGAAAGACAAAAATCTGGTAATGCTTAATCGGTGCAGGGAATTTTCACATTTATTTATGTGATATTGGCGATCCTTATATTTAATTTGCCTCATCACAATCTGATTTGAATACTTTGTCATGCATAACTAGGTTTTTGATCCAATAACACATTACCAAAAAAAAAATGAAAGGCCATTTCACTCCATTCGGGATTACCTAAACCGCTAAATATCCTATTTTTATTAAATTTTTGTAAAGAAAATAAAGAAAGTTTACAAACTGTGTTTAATTTGATCTAGAATACCTCATTACTTATTTGGAATGTCGAAGAGTTGCAGATTTTGAACAAGAACTGATGTGAATTAGTCCAGATGCCCAAAAAGTTGTGTTTCTGATATTAATAAGAATTTATTTCCATCTGACCCTTTCCACAGATGACCATGAACATGAGTGGATAGTGAGCACTTGTCGCAGGGCTTGGGATGTGCCTTTAACTGATATTCCTCTACAAACGTCTCGCAACCAGACCTGAGGAGAAGAGCAAGATTGTCTTAATAGTGCTTTAAATTGTGCTATTTCACATAAACTGAGCTGTGGGGTTTTTCCTCTTTCTTTATTTTACTCAAGACATAGCTGAATAAATAAAAAGAATTGTAATCAAAGTAGTTTTTTCCCTTTTTTCCTCTGTTTTTTAATCAGCAAAAAGATTTCTTTCCTTCTCAACAATAAGGCTCTTTCCACCTGCAGGATTGTGTGTTTCAGTACTTATGTTCTTTCATGCTTATGAAATCAGTTCACTTAAAAGTTAAACACTTTAGTTTTTGCAGCAACTGAAATTAATTATCTGTTCCTTTTGAACAAACTCTTCAAGACCTAAGCACTAAAGCCAAAATTTATTTTCATTCCATACTTTTATTCACTAAAAATGCAATTAGAAGTTACACTAAAATGGTTATTGACTTTAATACAATTAATAAAAACTTCAGATATTAGCAAAATTATTTGGTCAGTTTTGTTGCCATGCAATAAGCAGGCAGCACTTATTTACATAATTTCCACAAGTTATGTATGGCCTGTCAGTCACTTAGCTATCTTTTAATTGTAATTTAAAAATACATTTCTAATGGACTGGCTGCCATTTTCCTGCTTTCTGCAAATCCCACATTAACAGGAACAAAAACAACAAGGTGTCCAGTAATAATGTCAGACGGAGACATTATCCTTCACCCAAAGAACTAAACATTCACAGAGCAATCAGCACACAAAAACCCATAGAAGTTGATCCAATAAACAATTCTAAATAGATGCTTTAATTTCACTCAAGACTAATTTAACGATCAGGCTAATTTCTTGTGCCGCTCCATTGGTTTGATAATGTTTTTAATAAGATAATGTCCATCTATGCATTGTCACAAATGATCTTTAAAAAAAATACACACCCAAACCAAATTATCACATTCTGATTTATTGCATTTTATTACACAAAACATTTATGATGCACAGTCTCTCAAATAAACCCTTTGTTTTATTTCTTTTTGTCTTTTTTCTTGTTAATATTTCTTGACTTAACAAAACGATGTCAGAAAGTGGGGGAAAAGTGCTTTTTACAGGGATTTTTATCATGTCAATAAATACAAGGTCTTTGAGGTGTCGTTGGATTCTGTCTCAACACAACGGCCATGGCACTAAGATACAAACACACACTCACTCTCCCTGCCCATAAAACTCACAGAAACACATGCACACTTCTCACTATGTACAAACCCACTTAGTTTAATTGGGTCGATTTTGTACCAAAGTTCTCAGTTTTCCTTATGGTATAAAAACACACACAAACACACACACACCCGCGCACACCCACACACACACATACACAGAGAGGCAAATCAAGCAACCTTCTAAATATAAATTACTGAAAATACAAACGTGACTTTCTTCAGGAATGGTTTGAGTAGATGTTAAAATGAGATTTTCTCTTTATTAGAAGCATTGTAAAAGAATTAGAACAGGTGCCTTTATTCAATAAAAAAAACTCATCCAATTTTAATTTAAGAGAGAAATGTGTGTGTCATCTGGAGGGGCGTTTTATAAATGTTTAATACCGTTTTAAATCATCTACCATCTTTAGTTTTGAATTGACTAAAGAGGAAGCTTTATTTTAATGAATAAGGCACATCTTGTTTTATTTGTATTTTTTTCATACCTTTTTAATTGTAAAGCCTTTAAGCTAAGGTGTTCTTCTGTTTTGTTTTTCACAATGTCATTAAGTAAATAATTATTTCAAATGCAAACACTATATTGTTTACATTTAACTTTCCTTCATGGTTGCTTTGAGAAAAAAAAAAAAAGGGAGGAGTCTTACCTCTAATGTGTGAGCCCATCCCAACGGGCCACAGTGACATTTTAATTTAATCTTCAACAATCTGACAACCTTCGAGAAGCTGCAGTCCTGCTTCTTTTATCAATTACATCCATTTCAAATTCCCCAAGTTTGACGGTGGGTGAAGAGAGCGAAAGATGCTGTACATGAGAATCAGGGTGGGTCCATCAGTGGGTGTAAAACACAGATTGAGAGTTCCTGCTGATAATAAATGCTGGAAGGTGACTGATTTGACACACTGGCCACAGGCTGAATGTTCCCATCCACTGAAAAGAAGAGAAGACGACGGCAGATCTGTCTCTTTTTCTTTCCGTCCATGATTGGAAGATTAGTCTTTTCTCCACGACTCTTGCACGATCTTCAAGTGAGGTCAGGCGGCTTCACTGACGGCAGATCCGGAGTAAAAATCCAGAGGTCAGGGGTCACGTGGAGAGTTAGCGGCTGAGGGGGAGCTGGGGCAGCGACATGGCCTGGTGAGGGAGGCTCTGAGAGGTCAGGACGGAAAACGGATGACCTGGAAAACATGTATTTAAAAAATAAAGATACACATAAATGAATATCTTGTCTTTGATGAAGCTTCGAAAACACCATAGGGCTGAAAAAAAAAGTAAACTCACTATCGATGTACCCGTGAAGAGCTACCATGCGCGCGCGTTCAGGACTGCCGAAAGGGGAGTAATGCAGCTCATCGGGCAGCGACGAGGGTATCCTGGACTGAGGATGACCCTGCGGAGCACCGCTGTGCTGGGGCGTGTGCTTTTTATGTCGCGCTCTGCAGTTTTGAAACCACACCTATGAAGACACAAACATCATGTAGCTATGCTTTTGCCCTTCACTGCTTTATGCTGATGTAAAAAAAAAAAAAAGTGTATAAAAAAACACCTTAATCATTCTATATATCTGCTTTGATCAAGACAAAGAATTGTGGAACTGAGTTATTTGAATTTCCATGCAGATGAATAGACTGTGAATATGTGTGACCTTTCTGACCTGTATAACTCGTCTGCTCAGGCCCGTCATGTCTGCCAGTTTCTGTAGCGTTTGGGCGTCTGGATTGTTGTCCTGAGCAAACTGCGCCTGCATGATCTTCAGACGTTGACAACATATTAATAGAGATAAAGATTTCTAAGACACTCACTGAAGGGAGAGTCTCACCTGTAGCTGCTCTGCAGTGAACGACGTCCGTGCTCTTTTGGCCGGTTTAGGCTGACTGTCCTGTTCTGTTGGGACTGCACCCTCTAATGTAATACCATTACCTGAAAAACACATCAAATTATCAGACATAGATCCAGTCCATATTTACAGCTAAGAGGCATCACACGTTCTGTTTATTGTCAGCTTCTTCTATGACGTCCTGCAGATTCATATTTTACATTTTAATACGCTGTGTTGCAGCTTGCTTTCAAAATATTGGGATAGGGGTTTAATGTTTACAACAAAAGAAAAATAGGATTTCAAACTTTCAGATGACTTACAGAAAATTGGCAAAGGTTTTGACAAGCATTAAGAAGATTCATAGCATCTATCAACATTTAAAAACATTTTAATCTAAAAATAAGTCAGATTATGTATTAAAACTCATCAGTTGCATTTAAAAACAAAATATTTTGCTAAATTTTATGGGTTATGGTCCTAAAATAGTTTCAAATTAACTTCAAACAGCTGTCAGTGATTAAATAGGCAAACCAAAGATATTTTTATAGTATGTGCTTTCATTCGCCATGTTAAGTGCATTTATGTTATCGTCTAATTTTAGTGCTAGAACTTATGTGAAAGATAAACTCAAAAAAGTGCATTATGTTTGTTTGTTTGGTTGTTTGTTAGGGTTTTTTTTTTTTTACAGAAAATTACATCTGAAAAGTGTGTTGTGCATTTCCACTCAGCCCTCCCAAGTCAGTAATTGTAAAACTCATCTTTCCAATTCCAACTGCAGGTACTTTTGGGGTGTTTCGCTACACCAGCTTCACAAACCTACAACTGAAACCTTTGCCCTTTCTTCTTTGCAAAACAGATAAAACTTTGTCAGATTAGATTAAGAGCTTCTGTGAACATTGATTTTTAAGTCCTGCTCCACAATTTCAACTGCATTTGGGTGTAGACCAATATGTGACGATGCTTTTTACCTAATGCATAACAATGCCGCTGCGGCTGTATTCTCAGGGTGGTTGTGCTCCTAAAAAATTGACTTCTACCATAGTCTCAAGTCTTTTACAGCATATTACAGCTTTTCTTCCAGAATTACACTGTATTTAGCTTAATCTAAATACTAACAAACTCTCACCAGCTTCCTAGGTCTCTGCTGAAGAAAATGATCTCCACACCCACAGTGTTTTGCGTGTAACTCAGAATATTTTGACTGACGTCAATGACTGACGTCAATGAGTGCTTGCTGTGTGTCCTACTGCAAAGGGCATCTTTTCCCTGTCTATTAACGCTTCTTGCTATTCTTTCATATTGGCTAGATTTTTTGGATTAAGTTGTCCTAAATAATAGTGTGAGCCACAAGAAATGATATGCTTGCAGCATACAGAAAGAAAAAGGCACAGGGAAACATTTTTGCCCCTCACCGCTCTCAGCCGCCCGCTTGAGGTTCTCCACCATGGTGTCGTAGTGGATCCGACACAAAACCTTCTCCTCCACCAAGCCGAACTCCTCTCCCGTAGACAGCTGCCTCTTACACGAGTAGCACGCAAAGCAGGCCAAGTGGTATGCGTTCCCCCTCGCCCGACGCACCCAGTCGCTCGCATATATCTGCCGCCCACAGCGGGCACACTTGGTACCAAACCTACTGTGAAGGAGAGAAGAGGAGAACAGCATGGGGCGGAGAGGGAGAAGGAAACACAGAGAGAGAAATGAGGGCAGTGTTCACTCGAAAACAAAATCCTAAAAATGAAACATGCACAATTACATCCTTTTCTTTCAGAACATTTTTTACCAAGACGAAGTATGCGTGTATATGTCTGTGTGTGTGTGTGTGTGTGTGTGTGTGTGTGTGTGTGTGTGTGTGTGTGTGTGTGTGTGTGTGTGTGTGTGTGTGTGTGTGTGTGTGTGTGTGTGTGGGTGTGTGTGTGTGTGGGTGTGTGTGTGTGTATGTGTTTAAACTTGTGGCATTTTCCAAAGCCTTTGAGGGAAGAAACCTTGGAGGACGATGAAGCTGTTAGAAAAAAATCCTGCAAGCTGAGCCTTGAATACAAACAAACCAACACCTGCAATTTCCTGGTTGATCCATGAAGGCCCTGACACGCACACACCCGCACACACGCTCCCCAAA